TTGTTAGAAATATCGTTAGCACATTCCTTCCTTTAGTAAACCTCTACTGAGCAGGTGTGAAGTGCTTAAGTTTACAGAACACATGCTTGGGTGTGGTCCGGAGCTTAAACCATCACACCCTGTGTCTGTGGCGTAGCTGCCTTGCCTTCCTGTAGGTGCTGAGGCCAATTTTTGCTCTCCGAGACCAAGCAGAAAAGACTTGTGTGTGGGAAGCACTGCTTGACAGCCTCAGTGGTGCATGGAACCCACTAGCAAAACAAACTGCTATGACCCCCAGGCCTCCTCAAATCCCTGGGTGCCATAGATGCTTCATTTCTTGCCCAGGATTGTTGCTGTCCAAAAAAATCATGTGGTACTAGAAATCCCAGAAGCTTGTGATCCTCAAGAGCCCTTTCTAAGACTGTTCCAGAAAGTCACTCAAAGTTTGCAGCCTAACTCGTGCTTCCTGAGTGCAGCCATGGGGTTTTGCAGGAGGCCCACAAGGCATACCTGGTCAGCCAATTTGAAGACACCAACCTTCTTATTTAAAGCAGGAATTCTATGTAATCCACTTTACAGTCTTCTTTCTGAGTTACACCTCCACAGCAATAAGCACTTCCCTTCACCCGAGACACACCATTCCTAGCTACATACTCATCCTTCTCTGGATGATTACCATAACCCTTCTTATAATGTGGCTGCCAGCTCTGAACACAATATTCTAGACATGACATCATGAAGTAGACATTACCATCACTATCTTCTTCTTTATCCTACCCTTAAATTCCATTATTGCAAACTTTTGGGGTACCCAAATCATGTTCTTAGTCATATCAAAATTATTGATACCAATAAATTAATATATTCTAGTGGTACTATTAAATCACTTCCCCTTCATCCTATAATTGTTATATATACACATATTCTTAAAATTTAACATACATACAATATTTAATCTCAACATAGAGCTTTATGTTTATGCACAATAAATTTCATTCTATTAGATTCAATCTGTCTAGGGTTTGGAAATCCTTTTCTCTCTTTTTTTTTTCCAACATTGATTCTTTTATTCAGAGTTTACACTTTCTATCATTGGCATATGCCTACCTAATGATGATGCCCTGGTTTTCCTGTGGAAGTATTGCTCTTCCAATAGCAATCCATTTGGTTTAGTTGGGTGGACCACCCTCCATACCCTGATGAAGGCATGTGACCCAGACAGGGCCCAGTGACACCAGCTCTGCCCACAATGTGGAAAAACACTTTCCTCCAAAGAGGATCAGAGGGAGATCCTGACTGGCAGTGTGTCCAATGTGGAGATAGCAGATCCTAGACATGGGATACAATGGGGTGCTTGTGACATTTTTTGAGCCCTGGATCCGGCATGTCTGTAGCCAAGAAGTCCTCTTCTTGTGTAGCTGTTTAAAATTGGTTTCTGTCACTTCAGCCAAGACTCTTATTTAATAAACCATCCTTGAAAATTGTGTCACTGCAGCTTTGATAATTATTTTCTCATAAGAGGTGTGGTGGTGACCTGGGGCCCCGGAGATTTGTTTCAGAGCTGCATTTCCATAGGAAACATAGTTTGTATTTGTATTTCATGTGCATTTAGGGTGGTTTAGTGGCGTAGGATGGATGTGTGTGTGTGTGTGTGTGTGTGTGAAAATTTCCCTTAAGCGTCTAATCAGTGCTGCCACTGTTTTTATTTAAATGGCTGTTAAAGATCACTGAGGGAGATCTAGTCAAGGACAAAGCCTGCTTATTTGCCACTAAAAACCAAGTTCAAATTGACAGTAACTAACAGTATTTGGGTACCATGTTTTAGCTTTTTTTTAAAATCCAGGTTATATTGCTGGTGTGAATGCAAAATGTTACAGCTGCTGTGGAAAACAGTTTGGCAGTTCCTTAAAAAGTTAAATACAAAACTACCATAGGATCCAGCAATTCCACTCAGATACTTGCACAACAGTGTTCGGGGGCATCTGGGTGGCTAACTCGGTGAAGCGTCTGCCTTCAGCTCAGGTCATGATCTTAGGGTCCTGGGATAGAGCCTTGCATCGGTCTCCCTGCTCAGCAAGGAGTCTGCTTTTCCCTCTCCCTCTGCCCCTCCCCCCGCTTGTGTGCTCTCTCTCTCTCAAATAAGTAAATAAAATCTTTAAACAACAATAACAACAATATTCATAGCAGCATTCTTTAGAGTAGCCAACAGGTGGAACAACCCAGATGTCCATCAACAGGTGAATGGATAAACAAAAGGTGATATATGCATACAACAGAATATTATTCAGTGTTTAAGAGTAATAAAATTGTGATACATATGAAATATGGGTGAAACTTGAAAACATCATGTTAAGTGAAATAAACCAGACACAAAAGGATAAAAATTGTGTGATTTCACCTATATGAGGTACTTAGAATAGGCAAATTTATGGAGAAAGTAGAGTAGAGATTATCAGGGGCTGGGAGGAGGGGAGGATGGGGAGTTATTTTAAGGGATACAGAGCTTCTGTTTGGGATGATAAAAAAAGTTCTGGAAGTGGATAATTGTGGTTTGTACAACACTATGTATATACTCAATGCCAATGAATTATACATGGTTAAACGGTGAATTTTATATTATGTATATTTTCCCACAAAAATGAAAAATACAACTAGCAGACATTGGTACTTCCTCTGATCTAGCATGCATATCATTAATAAGGATTTAATATTTGTTTACATTTTTCTTTTTATGTAAAATTTACATATAATGAACTGCACAAACCTTAAGTGTACAGATTTTTGAGTTTTAACATTATCATCATCCCAGAAAGTTCCCTCAGGACTTTTCCCAGTGAAATGCTCTGATATAATTTTTTTTTTAAAGATTTTATTTATTTGCGAGAGAGAGAATGAGAGACAGAGAGCATGAGAGGGAGGAGGGTCAGAGGGAGAAGCAGACTCCCTGCTGAGCAGGGAGCCTGACGTGGGACTCGATACCGGGACTCCGGGATCATGACCTGAGCCGAAGGCAGTCGCTTAACTAACTGAGCCACCCAGGCGCCCCTCTGATATAATTTTTAAGAACAGAATTGAGAATCCACAGCCAAGGATTTGCTTTTTTGCTTCAACCTATATTGGCTTTCCCTCTGAGTGTTGTGTAATTAGCAATCTAGTGCTGCCCCTGGATGCGGAGGAAGAGGAAAGGGTATGGAAAGCTGAGAAAAGGACACTTCTGCCTCAATGTTGGGATAGGGGGTGTGCATATTGGGGCAGGCGGAAGGAAAGAGAACACAAGTTCTGGAATTCAGACAAGAGTCAGTTTTCTATTCTCACTAAAGCAGTCTAATCAGAACTGTCTCTTGGTATATTCCCTTGTTGTCCATCTCTCCTTTGGCTCTTAGCAAAATCCCTCTCTGCGCCTCTTGGCTGAGACTTTGAGCCAACAGCCCATGGATCTCAGAGAAGTTCTGTGTTGCTGAGATTTGCATGTATAATGCTGGAAGCTGACTGGCCAGTGGCAGTTCCTCATGTGTGTGTTGTGTGAATGGACTGGCCCAACAGTGTCAGTGTAAATCTCAGGAAGATAAATCCTCCAAATAGGAAAATTGCCTTTATTCAAGTTATCTAAAGACAGTTTGTTTCTCCTCCTTCCTCCTTCTCCTTTTCCTTTACCAATTCTTTAGTTTTTTAAATTGAACCAGATACTTCTGAATCTATTACCTCATGAGAAGAATGTATATTAATTATTTTTAAAAATTAGAATAATACAACACAAAGAGAAAGTGCCTCTTTTTAACACCTCCAAAGAGCATATCTGGTTTATAACCCTTGAGAACTTTTAAAAACGCATATACTGAAATGTGTATGTCTCTCTGTATTTTAAAAAATTATACCAAATTATTCATACTGATCTACAACTTGCTTTTTTACCTGAAATGTATATTGATTGACTTCGAGAAAATGACTCACATAACTCAGAGAGTTTAATTTTATTTCAGGGGGTTTATCTTTTCAAAGTCATGTGGATTAATTTAAGTGTCTCAAGTAAAACTTTGGTTATAAAATAATATGGTTGGCCAAGAAAAACAACTTGGGAAGTCACAATTTTCTATCCACTGATTTTTGAACACTTTTAAGGAGACCTCCTTCTCCCAAGCCTGGTTTTAAAGAGTGCTTAAATAAGAAATCTGCTTGAGGAATTATTCTTAGCCATTTCTTTACCGAGGGATGGGCAGAAAAGAAAATAAACAAAGCAAGGAAAAAAAACTTTGAGCTTCCTTATCCTAACAGAAGTGGAAAATTCCAACTCATAGTTATAAAATGGGAGACTAAGACCCTAATCCTGAGTTTTGTTGGAGTCTGTTTTGTATCAGATGAAATTATGTAACACGAAGTGCTTTGTAATTTTCCATAAATGCTATGTATTATATTATTGTTTTAGTTATTGTTTTGGGAAGCAGTTTCAGATTGGAGACATAAACTCTGGATCATGGAATGTTTGGTGACTAGGTGGCTTCCACATGAAATTCTGAAGATGCTTCCTATTAAAAATGATAGGGCAGGGAGAACTACAGTCCATAAAAGACATTTAAGAAAAAACACCTTCGGGCGCCTGGGTGGCTCAGTTGGTTAAGCAACTGCCTTCGGCTCAGGTCATGATGCTGGAGTCCCTGGATCGAGTCCCGCATCCCTAATCGGCAGGGAGTCTGCTTCTCCCTCTGACCATAACCCCTCTCATGTGCTCTCTCTCATTCTCTCTCTCTCTCAAATAAATAAATAAAATCTTTAAAAAACAAGAAAACCCCACCTTCACTCAGAATTGACTAAATAACAGCAAGAGCTTACTGGGGCCATCTTGAAATGTTAGAATAATAAAAAGAGTAAAAACTATTTTAAATGTGAAACTCGTGTGTGTGTGTGTGTGTGTGTGTGTGTGTGTTGAGGGGTATAAGGTATGGATGACAGCAAGAAAAGGACCAGGTGAAAGGTTAAGAAGGGGTGATGGAGAGGAAGGGAACTTTTTTTCTGTCTCTGCTGCCACCATGGCACCCGTGAAAAAGCCTGTGGCGAAGGGGGGCAAAAAAAAGAAGCAAGTTCGAAAGTTTATCCTTGACTGCACCCACCCTGTAGAAGATGGAATCATGGATGATGCCAATTTTGAGCAGTTTCTTCAAGAGAGAATCGAAGTGAATGGAAAAGCTGGGACTCTCGGTGGAGGGGTTGTAACAATTGAAAGGAGCAAAAGCAAGATTACTGTAACTTCTGAGGTGCCTTTTTCCAAAAGGTATTTGAAATATCTCACCAAAAAATATTTGAAGAAGAATAATCTCCGTGACTGGTTGCGCATAGTTGCTAACAGCAAAGACAGTTAGGAGTTGCGTTACTTCCAGATTAACCAAGATGAGGAAGAGGAGGAAGATGAGGATTAAAACTCATTTATCTGGAATATTTTGTATGAGTTCTTAAATAAAACTTGGGAACCAAAAAAAAAAAAAATGAATCGAGGAGAAAAATCCTGTGATGGTTAAATGTTATGTGTCAACTTGGTTAAGCTATGGTGCTCAGTGGTTTGGCCAAACACTAATCTAGATGTTGCTGTGAAGGTATTTTGTACATGTACCCAGTATATATAATCAGTTGACTTTGAGTAAAGTAGTGTATACATCATAATGTGGGTGTGTCTCATCTGATCAGTTGAAGGCCTTAAAAAGCAAAAACTGAGGTATCCTGGAGAAGGAATTCTGCCTGAATTTCCAGCCTGCCACCTTGCCCTACACATTTTGAACTTGCCAGCCCCACAACTGCATAAGCCAATTCCTCAAAATGCAGATTTTGTTACTGACAGTGGTTCTAGAGGAAAAAAGGTTTTAAGAATGAGTTTTTTGAATTGATTTTTGGAATTTGATTCTCTAATCTGATTAGATTTAAGGGCACTAATGACTCACTTCCAGTGATAAAGACAGTCCATAGCATGATGTGGCAATAGATATATGTAAAAGATCACCGTTGGATACTTCTAATCAAAGCAAATGCGAGGTTCTGGGTGACCATGTATTTGATACATTAGAACATTTTAGTCAAACAAATGAATATGAAATTGGCTGTTTGCTTATAACTGCACTAGACAAAGTGGGGAAAGAAAAGGAGGAGCTCAGGGCTTCAAATTCCTGGGTCAAGTGCTGCATAAATGACCTGAAATTTTCTGCATCTGCTCTGAAAGAAATTCTTACCACTTATAGCCATAGAGCTAAGATTTAGCCATAGAGGTAAGATAAAACCAAACCCAAAGTCTCATCCCTGCAAGTGGCTGAATTAAAATGCAAATCAAATTCCCAATCTCAAAGGATACAAGCTATTAAAATGAGGGCACTGGGCGCCTGGGTGGCTCAGATGGTTCAGCGTCTGCCTTCAGCTCAGGTCATGATCCCAGGGTCCTGGGATCGAGTCCCGCATCGGGCTCCCTGCTCAGCAGGAAGCCTGCTTCTCCCTCTGCCTCTTTCTCTGTCTCTGTCTCTTATGAATAAATAAATAAAATCTTTAAAAAATAAAAAAATAAACAAATAAAATGAGGGCACTGACTGGGAAGGAAAGTCCTGAAATTTGGAATAGGGATATATGGGCACATCCTAATGAATCTGGGGATCTTGAACCCCTAAATTCTGCTTGGTCTTCTTTGCCAGGAGAGCAGGTTAATCTGAGGTTAACCCTGCTTTGCTGAGAAATGCAGGCAACACCATCCCCTGTAATGGCCTCCCCAGATATAGTTTCCTTGTTAGGCATTGCTGATTCTCCTCAGGATCTGGCCCCACCAACCTTCTTTGCCTCTAAACCTATAACTAGACTTAAGTCTATTTATGAAAAGTGAGGTACAAATTGTGACCCATGAGGTGGTACACTATATTCCAAAAAAACTGCATGATTTTTCCAATTTATACAGACATAAATCTGGAGAATATGAGTAGGAATGGATATTAAGGGTGTGGTGTAATAGCAGAAGAAACACAAAATTAGATCAGACTAAATGTATTGATATGTAACCAAAGCAGAGATTCTGAATTCAAAATTGTAGCTAGGGGGTTAGAAAAGTCTCTAGTCTTTTGGTTGGTAGGTTGAAATATGGACCAAAAGGTGGTCTACTGTTAGAAGGTGGAGGAAAGACAGTAAAATATCCTCCAAACTGAGAAAGCACTTTGGGACCAAAAGATGAAGTAAACCACTCCATAACATTTACACAGTTTATTCAGGGTAAATTACTGATGGGAAGATCAGGCAGATGACCATCTAGGTACTGTGCAGCTTTTCTCTGCAAAGTCTTGACCTTAAGCCCCAGATTTTAGAGTGAGGGGATGTGCAGAAGTCCTTGTAGTGAGGTCAAAGAGTATAACATTTAACAGATCTCATGATGAACATCTGTGTGCAGATGGGTGGGGGGAGGGGAAGAAACTATGTTATCTTTACTAATAATCTAAACAACTTTAGGGAGGATCAGCACAAACCTTCCTCCATTCTGCTCAGGGCATACATTAACCTCCAAGGGCCCTGGAACCTCCAAGCCCGGATGGAGATCACTGTGTGGACATGAGCAAGATGGAAGGCCGAAAATGGAGTCAGTGCTGTCAGAACTCCTACGCTCCATCCCCAACATCTTTATGGCCCTACAATCTTTACATGCCATTCTTCTGTGATGACCCTAGAGCCAGCTATCGGGAGGTGACCTGCATCCCTATGCCACAGCAGCAACATCCGTATACCTATGAGACCAAAGGAAAAATAGAACTATGGTTTCCCAGTGACTGAGTAAAAAGGTCGTTTCCCCAGACCCAACAGTCAGGGTGATTGTGAATTTTAATGTAAGTCGTGGCCCATGACAGGAAGACATTTCCTGCTGCAACAGAAAAGAACACCAGCAATTGTGAGGCTAGGGGCGATAAGACAAATGTTACACAGACAACAGATACGGCAAACAACAGATACGGCAAATCTTCATTTAGTAACCAAGTAGCAGTTTGGTCCCCTTGAGCCAGTGCCCTTGGCTTCGGTATTTTCCCTGGGGGATGATACCATGTATTTTGCCCCTTAATACCATCAGAGGTGTGTCTATATTGTACAGAGTACCTCAGCTGGCACACAGAGTAACAGCTCTACCTCAGTACCCAGCAGCAGGGGGCAGCAGCAGATATTTGCCTGTGTGTTGGGCCCTGACCAATACAGAATGAGGGGTTAATAACAATACCGGATTTGAGCCCTTGGCCCCAAGGGATTAGGACACCAAGCCATGGGGAGTGGGGGAGGGGGGGCCAAAGGGTGGACTTCAAACCAATGTCCAATGAACTGAAGTCTCACCAGGTGGGAGGTCTTGTAGCAAACACAAAATGAGTCCCTCCTCCAGCCTGGTAGGCCTCAGACCTCCTGAAAATACCTGCTCCCCTAACACCCAAGTTGTGGGGCTGTTATTGGTTAGGCCTTCATATGCTGATGTCTGTCCTGCTGTGGGAATGGTGTCCGTCCTGCTGTGGCCTCTGTTAGTCTTCCAGATGGTCCAGTGAGGGAGCCTTCTGGTGACAAAGTCTTTCATGTGTTTTTTATTAGTCCAGTCACCCTCTCAATTAGGCCTTGAGCAGCGGGATTGGATGGCACGTGGAAAGTCTATAATATATGCTGGGCCTCTTCTGCCCGTTCTTGGACCTCATGGCTGGTAAAATGTGTTCCTTGATCACTATCTATCTGAGTCCACATTCCCTACATATTCTGTAGTTTTGTTTATCCCTTATAATTGCTTGTACAAGTCCTAAGAAACTGACGAATACTTGTGCCCTTCCGATGCCCGCAGAGGACCTATGTAATCGGTTTGCCAGCAAGAAATAGGGCATGTAGTCTGTCTAATATGCCTCAAGGTATGGCGCAAAAGTCATCACCTCAGGTGGCACTGGGGGCACTCCGTGTCAGCAGCTTGTGGATCGGAATATTTTAAAGGCAAATGTAATCTCTTTACTATTTCCCAAGTAGTTTTGGGACCTCAGTGTCCCAATTTATCGTGCACCCATTCTGCTACATCAGACAGGATCAGCATTTCCTCCAGCAAAAGGCTTGTGCCTGGGCTAGAACGTCTGCTTCATGATTGCCTGGCAGTATGCATGGGGGGTGTGCGCACACATGCCGTATTTGGACAGCTGCATTGAGTTTAGTGCATATTTCCCAATTATCTTTCCATAGTTCTCCTCCCCACAAGAGTCTATTTAATACAGCCCAGACTTTTCTGTGCCATTGTGGCATCCATTCCACTCTGCCCAGCTGTCAGTGGCCAAATCAATGGGCATGGGTTCATGCGTTAGCACAATCCATACCGCTTTCAGTCTGTGCACTGGACTACTTTGGGTTCCTTCTTCAAACCAAAGTACATCAGAATCCAGAACGGCAGAGGAATGCCAAGTCGGGGCTTTCCTTTGCAACTGACGTAAGTGCACCATGTGTTGTTCACTGGAACAACAGTGGAGGTGAGCCTACCCCTTCCTGTCCTTTGGGGAGGGGAGGCACAATGTCAATGACTTTGAAAGCTGGTTGGGTCAACCTAAGCGACCAGTCCTAGTAACAAGTGCAGTTCATGAGACAGCAGGCTGGTATTGTAAGTGCTCCTCTGCTATAGGGAAGTGTGGCATTTCTGAAAGGTGCTTACCTGGGCACAGGCACTCTTAGGTTTGCTTAACATGTAGTTAACCTGTACTCCTACTGACAGGGAAATCCATACTGTCACAGGCATGTGGCTGTCAGTCCTTCTGTCTATTGCAGTGCAAGATAAATAGTTAATAGTTGTTTCTTTCTTTCTTTTTTTTAGATTTTATTTATTTATTTGACACAGAGAGACAGCGAGAGAGGGAACACAAGCAGGGGGAGTGGGAGAGGGAGAAGCGGACTCCCCCCTGAGCAGGGAACCCAATGCGGGGCTCAATCCCAGGACCCCGGGACCATGACCTGAGCCAAAGGCAGACGCTTAACTACTGAGCCACCCAGGCGCCCTGCTCAAATAGTTGTTTCTTGAGGGGACTATGCCTAGTTTCTCCTCTCTTCCATAACTGAGACGAGAATCCTAATGGGATTCATGTCCCATTTTTCATTGCCACAGGCCGGAGCCAAACACTTTTGGATATGAACTCGTATCTAATTCACAACTCCCGTCTGGCATTGATAGCCCCAGGGTCTGTACTGGTTTTACTACCATTTTTGCCTTTAAAAAAGCTTCTTGTTGGTTAATACCCCAATCCCATCAGCTTCCCTTCTTAAGCAAGGCATAGAAAGGTCTTAATGTGCTAGATGGGGAATAAAAGGTCTCCAGTAGTCCAATAAACCAACAAAAACCTGTAATTCCTTTACTGGTTCAGGGATTGGGAGGGCTTGTATTTTATCAATGACTGCCTCTGGCATCACTTTTGTCTCACCCACCCAGATGATGCCCAGGGTACTATTTACCTCGCATCTTTGTGACTTTAAGTGTACCTGTA